GGAACACTATGTTACAGGACAGTTCACGTACACGACAGATGATGCCCAAGTGTTGGGACACCGCGTCAGCGCCATAAGTGACAGCGTACGAAAAGGAAGTAATGGCGAAGCGGGCAAGTCAATATGATGGCCTGGGTTACACGCCAATGTAGAAATTTGCCGAGCTGCAAGCAGCCGTTCACCCCTTCTACTTCTTTCCACCTAAACTACAACGCGGTGGTTGCCTAGCAAAGTAAGGATCATCTGATTACTCCTGTGGCCCCTGTGGCCGCGGGTCTTGTATTCCCAATCACCCCGTCGGTCGTGTGGTAGGACAGATAAGGCACGCATTCTCATCTGTACCGCCCGTGCCGTGATCCTCTCTCGGCGATATTTCACCGGGGTCTGTCTGGTGACTTGCTGCGGGGTCCCACTAAGGCGGGTACATCAATGATAGAGCCCTAGAGACTTGCCAGGGATTAATGCTCTAGGAACTGTGTCCGCCGTAACGGAAGTGTGATCCATCGGCATCTTGCTTAGATGCCCGGGCGGATGTCTAAGTTCCTGTCTTGGTTTCTCGAGTCCTTCTCGGGAGCATGCATGCATGCATCCATTGGATTCATCTTATCTGATATGTACGCTTGGGCAGCTTTCCCCCGCGGACGGCTCGGTGCGCAGTGACATACACGCTTACCTACTGGTGACAGCAACTGCAAGAGGCCACAAAGCGAACCCGTTCGGGCATACCCGAGTGAACCGAGAGCCGGGATGTCGCCCGACGAGAATTGGACACCCGAGTCTAATTTAACGACAGCTAGAATAAAGGTCTTATTTTGGTTGGTGGGAAACCGACGACGGATGGTATAGGTATGATTCTCGTCTTACTCGAATCGGATTCTACCCAGTGAGAGATTTCTCCGTGTCTGACGGAATCTCAGTAGGGAGCTTCCTCTAAACTACAGCGTCCGATGTACTACATTCCCGTGGGATGGATCGATAGCGCAGTCAGAAGATCCGATGATAATAAAACTCGACCTCGCCGGTGAGCGGGTAGTGCGAAACCTCCTATTACACTCGAGATGGAGGAGACTTCGCGATTCGCCGTTTGCCGCGGACATGACTCCCCGAAAGGGAAATATCAATGCCGGTGCCGGTGAACGACCACTGGATCGTGTCTTATTTAAAATCGGAATAATTAATCGAAAGAGAGCGATCGGCCGTTTATGGAAACTATCCCCAACGGGATTAAAAGGAATGAAGCTCTGACTTCAGCCCGCTTAGGACCCTGAAAAAGCTTGTCTGTCTTAGATCGTCTCTCCCCGTAGCGCGTGCGGGCGGAGTCGAGAGACGAGTTATGATCCCTGCGTGGTCCCGGTCAATAGTCTCAGGCGCCAAGGATACTCATACTACGTACATACCAAATGTATGCACAAGTATAATACCTATGCATCTAAGCATTTGCATCCAAGCATTTGACATACCTACTTATGTATTAGTATGCATTGTGGGTGGGGGTCACATCTGAATCCGATTTATCTAAAGCTCGCCGAGGCTTGCATATTGGGAGCAACCTAAGTCAGATACTTTAGGTAGTTATAAGAGATATTACTATTTTCATATTTCATATTTCATATTTCATAGTCGGCTTTAAATCAAATATTATACGTAATTCTATGTTGATCTGTTTCCCGGGATGTAGCTATGACAAAGAAAAAGGCCTCGGCGTTGCTAATAAGATAAAAATAGGAAAAGGGGCAAAGAAGAAAAGTAAAAAGCTCGCGCTACACAAACTCATTTGGTCGCCGATAACACCGAGGACTGAACAATATAGCTACCTAGGTAGTATTTGTAAACGAGGCGCAATTTTGTCTCACAAACCATAGACTTAGTAATTACCTTAGGTACTTTAGGTATATCGCGAAGAATAGGGGGGGCGAGTTAAGCTTGTGATTGTAACTACCTAGGTAGGTAGTCTTGCAAAACTACTAACTATAACTTACGAAACATACCTCTGATCAAGAATGGGGAGTATTGGGGGTTAAGCCATTATTGTTACAGCTCTGATTGAAACTTCTGTGTAACGAAATCCTTGTTGAGATCTGGTTCTTAGAATATCGAGAGTTTGCATTTCTGAGAGCTGACGGTACCTACTTAATGTATATGCGATGCTATGCAAATGATAAGTTATAAAATACTATTCTGATCTTCATATCGATTTATGACTTGGATCCTAGAAGGAAGTGAAGCTAGCTGTATAGGTAAATAGTTCATGATTCTTCTGTTGTTAGGGTCTACTGTTGGGATCTAGAGCACGGAACTACCCATCCAATCGTACCCATAATCAACTACCTAGACCCTTTGGGGTTGCTTTTTTCAGGGTCTCGCATTCGGACTTTTGTGTTCCACCAACCTGGAATAAAAAAGTGTTAGCCAAGACGGACTGGGAGACATGTCCATGTAATTCCAGGTAATTTGAATGAGTGACGAGCAAGTGGATCCGTTTGATAGTTGGAATGGAAATCGTCATAAGGGGCAGATAGATGTCCTTGTGCCCAATGGTTACTGAGGGGGAATAATAAAATAGGGAGAAGTCGTAGAGCCTTATGATCGCCAGGAGTTTACATAGTGTGAATACGTATCGGCGTGAGAGTAAGAATAGCCGCAGGTAGTAAGTAGTAAATAGACCTACATAGGCCCATGAAGGTTTAGAAAATACGTAAGGAGCGCAGTACATGCGTTATAAGACAGGGGGTTAGCTCCTACTGGCTCGAGACAGCGTCAGTGTCTTCAGCCTCGCCATGTGGGAACCACACGGGTTAACAAAATCTAGGTACTTCGGTCTAGGAGTGGATAAAGCTAGTGGTGCTGCGTAGTCGGAGCCGAATACACATATTTACCTAAGTTGATGGGTATTAGAATTCCAAACCCCTTACGTGCGTACTAGAGCGCTAGACTAGAAACCAGAAGTTACTGACTTGCGTATTGCTGTCTCTTCTAGCGAAGTAGGCGGCCCAGTTCCCACCTCTTAAACGCGCGGGATCGTCGTCTCGTCATAGAGACAGAGCGGGAATGGCTGACTGGTTAGCTGGCTCTGCAAGCTAGCCCGTTAGGTCGGCTCAAAGCCACGATAAACGAACCCTTGAGAAACACGGCTTGCTAGTGCATATTTATCTGCACGTACATAGGGCACGGAATGTGTAGGACGGCCGCCACTATCTAAGATGCAACGTATTCCTTGGCCGACGGAAGATCGAGATTCAAGGGTTCTGATAGCTTAGACCTGGGGAGGAGAGGGGGGGGGGGGGGGGGGTGTCTCGAATGTGCTCTTTTTGATCATTCCTCTTGTACAGTCTCAGTCTTTCTTGGCTATGGCTTTTGTACCCGCCGCCTAGCTGTAGTCAGACATAATAAAACGTCTCGGGTTTTGAGGGCCCAAGTCTCGTGTGGGAGTGAGCACGAGGACCATGTGGTGAATTTGCCCAGGCTAAGGATCAGCATTACCACTCGTATAAGCAACTAAGTCCATACATGCACATTCCGTGCTCCATTCGTGTTTTCCAATGCTGACCGGTAAAATCGAACGTCCGAGAAAGAGTGAATAACAGATCCTATAGGCCAACCGTAGAGCACTAGAATCTAGCTAGAATTTAGCGGATTGTGTTTAAGGTGTGGCTTCTATTAGTTCTCGTCGGCTTCAAAGGGGTTAAACTATTGACATCGTCATCTTCTGACCCATTTTCATGAATAGACGTAATATTTTTTTTTACTGATAGCGTAGAAGCCAATTAGACAGATATATATATTCATTCTGGGAGCATTTGTTCCGCAGGTTACCTAAGCGTACGATATTCTCGCGATATCGTACGCAACCTACTTGGAAATAATTCCTCCTACCCAGCCTTCCAATGTAGCCAATGTTAAATTAGGTAGAGTCCCACAGATATAGCGCTGCCTTCACAATCTGTGCCACGTCGAATATCATTCTGTGACTGGCTTTAGATGGGGACTGGAGCATTTTGTAATTGCCAATATCATACGGACTGTTATTACTACATACGACGTAGCTGTGTGAAATAATTTGAGCTACATACACTGGGTGTACGGGGTATCAACATACTATTAAAAGGGTTGAAAAAATGAGAACGCTTTCTTTTCGCTCAAACAAGCAACCCTGTGAAAAGAACTCATTCGGCTAACCCTGGTCTAATTAGCCTCCTATATCATACAAGGCTTCCGTATTCAATGTACATCCGAAGGTCCATGATGACCTAACACGCGCCATTTCCACTGGCGATGGGATGTTGCTCCTAATGAATCTCCCATGTGGCCGATGTCCAAATTCGAAATATATTTGTAACGGGATTTTGTCCCGCTGATGCCAAATGATGTCGTGAAAGGTGCAAGACTTCCGATCGATTCGGTTCGTAGCGTTTCGTAGTGATGCGTAACTGAATGTTTACCCATCTGGGTAATGAAAAGCTATAGGTAATATGCAAATCCCAAGCAACCGATGAAGTAAAACACATCAATAAAAAGGGAAAAAAAAAAGAAAAATCCAAGAAAGCACTCAAAGTCTATTGCAATTCCACCCTCCGCTATGAATATTGACCTGACAACTAGAACGACAACGACTTCGTAAATAGCAAGGCAAGGTCGATATATATATCTCGTCGGTTCCTAGAGGAGAATTGCAAATCCATTAACAACTCGCTCGTGTGATAACAACCGTAAACCCATGTCGTGGCTTTGGTGTCTCGTAGAGCATTCTTTATGCCCATTCGCAAAATCCGTAATCGTGGACTCCGAGCCCTGCTCTTTTCCGCTTGTTACCCCTTCCATTCGTTATGTTGCATTTTTATATCGTTTCGACAACAGGTGTAAGTAAAATATAACCACCACACCACACCCATAAGTGTATTATTGTGCTTCTCCAACTCTAGCGTAGCATTTGCCCGATGACATCGCTCGGAAGACAAACTTTTCTGATAGAAAGTCGTGTTTACCAATGTGAACCTAGTCCTCTACAACGGCTCTTGCTTTATACAGTATTCAGAGCCTGAATGATTATCTTGATCGCGTTTTGTTTCTTCCCGCGGCGAGCTACCGCTTCCATCGTTCGGTGGGGTCTTTCCTATTCCACATCCCTTTACCAATCTATGACGCTGTTGGACATAAAAGTTAGCAGCTTATACAAACGAATTCAACTCTTAAACGAAACGTGATGATAGCCTACCTTTAGCGCATCCTTCCTAGAAAAGCTCTTCTCGCAGAAGGTGCAGGGAAACGGCTTGATTGCAAGATGAATTCGCTTGTGCCTTTTAAGATCGTGATTCCTGTTGAACGATTGTGGACATATATCGCATTTGAAGGGGCGATCTTGTGTAATGGGATGGTTATTGGTGTAAAGGTGTTGATTGACTATGTGTCCAGTTGGATGATATCCGTGTCCCATTGTGCCGATACCGTTCATAATAGTCATCTGCCCTCCAGGATTCGTCATGTTCGACATGATCGGCCCTCCCACTGTCTGAGGAAGAGTGTAGGAGGGAAGGGGCCTATAGGGCAGCGCTTGCATTGGAGAATGCATTGGAGAATGCTGTTGATGCGGGCTAAGCGTCGAAGGATTTTTTGATAAGCTTCCAGCCGTTATCGAAGATGATTGTGAAGAAGAAGTATGTGTGGAAGTAAAGGATGGGTAAGAACTATGTGGGGTCGTCGATGAAGAAGGTCCTGAATAGTAACCGGAAGCTGTTGGCGGCCGCGAGTAAGCGTCTGGAGGCCCTGCAGACGTCGGCGGCGCTGTAGGCTGCGACCCTTGGGAATGACTGTTCATCATTGGCAAAGACGTTTGGTTCGGAGCTGGTGATAGTAAGTTAGAATGACCTAAACTACTTCCCGAAATCGAGAGTTGGTAAGGAGAAGAGCCGCTGTCGTAGGGAGAAGCTCCCAGGATATCCACGGTCCCGGGGGATTGTGAACTTCGATGATAAGTAGAATTAGGAGAATAGATCTGGCGGTTATAGTTCTGCTGCATGAGCGGAGGCTGTCCTCCGTGGCTCATCGGACTGTGCGTATAAGACTGAGTACTCGTTGTAGCCCAGAGTCTCTGTTGACTACTGAGCGGTAAGCTAGCTTGGGAATGCTGAGTACTGTGGTTGTTGGCGCCTGGAGAGATTGGGCTCAGGCTGTCAATGCCTGTCACTCCTGTAACGCAAGTTAGAGGGCTGTATTCGAGCATATTCGATAATTGAAGCCGGGGGATTGGCGCAGCCAGCTTGACAACGTCTTGTATGGGGTAAGAAGAAAAATGGAAAATATCAAGAAGAGGTAGAGATAGAGGTAGCATTGTTGCTAGTAAATTCATATTGGAAATAGGAGTAATTCGAGTCATACTTGGCACTTGGTTATCTATTGGTGTCGGAAGTGGTAGATGAAATTGAGGAAGCGTATGAGCTGCTGGTCTACGTGACGTGAAGCTCGTTGCGGCGGTTTCCATTATTCTGTTTCTGAGGAAAGGGCGAGAATAGAGGATAGAAGAGAGCGCTCTCCTGTTTACTATCCCCCTCTTCCTAGCGTAAAGAGTGAACGAATAGATGGAGCTTTCTTCGTTTACCCAGCGACCAAAAATTATAAAACTAAGTAGGAACTAGTAAATCTTATCGGTATAGGTTGCTTGTAAGTAACATTGAAGTTAGCTATACTCGTGCTTAGAGAGACTAAGAGACACGATTTTTGGTTTAATATTTGGGGATCTCGTATCCTAGGTAGTCGCACCGTATTGTTAAGTCGCAAGTCGCAAGTCGCAAATCGCCAGTCGCCAGTCGCCAGTCACCAGTCACCAGTCGCTTGCCAACGGACCACAACCCGAGTTAGCACGATTGAAATAGTATGGGGTAAGAGGGTAGTTGTGCTAGTAGCTGTGGCTTGGGGAGCGGAATCCCCAGACCAAGTTGGTTGAGGCTGTTTCTAGAGGTATTGGAGAGGTTTAAGTCTGAGTTCTTGGATGAACTGCAGTAGTAATAGAAGACTCCCTTGATAGAGGTAGTGTAAGTACACACTTATTATAAGCTATGAGTGGAGACGTCGATCATAAGGATGGCTGCCGGGAGGCGCCCATGGAATTATATACTCTATTGGATGATTGATAGAATCCTTGCTGGGGGACGTGGGCGTCCTTGGCCGGCTAGACCGTTGGGGAGTGGCCTTTTATCGACTTTTGTTTTTTTTTTTGCGGCTGGCCAGATGGAAATATCTCAGTCTCTGTTTAACGCCCATTGATATTACATAGAGCTTTTGATTGTATTGCTCGATTGTTTATTCATTTCTGGTGGGAAGGGGTCTTGCTGCAGTAGGTTAAGAAGCTTGTAGGTAAGGACAAGGGCCAGTTCAAACTAATCACCCCCAGACTCGATGGGCTGAAGCGCTGCCGGAGGTGCATATATGCAGCTCGAAAGTGAAAAGCTCAGGTAGGGAAGAAAAAAAGGTTGGCCTGAATAGGAGCGTGGCGTTAGATTACATATGTATGTACATAAGGTAAATAGATGTGTGGGTAGATATAGGTATGTACTCCGTAAATTCTTAAGCTCTCTTCGGGAATGGCTCTACTCTCTACTAAGAAGCTGCTTAGATCAGGTCCCCGGAGCGCGTCACCACTACTTAGGTATCTTCTTGCATAGTCACATTATACATAGTTAGTAGTTTTTTTTATTTTTTATTTTTTTATTTTTTTATATACCTATATATATTAGCTATGGCCTACTAGTTTGGGCATGGCGGGCCGTTCTGCACGTTGGATAATCCACACGATGGAACTTTGGGTTTGGTCTACGATGGTCGGTGGCTTGCTAGATCTGGGGGCGGACTGGGTAGTAGGAACCCTAGCACGTGGGTCAAAGGAGTAAGTAATATGTCTACTTCAGAATACAATGAGCACGGAGTACGGGATGAATGCACATGCAAAATATCAGTGCCGAATTTTCTAGGATTTTTTTTTAAACTAGGATCTCTTGATACAAAAGGATGTAGACCCCTTGGAGGGAGGTAAATCAAGTATCACACTTATCACACTAAACCGGGGGGGGAGAGGTAGAAAGAAGACATGCTTACCTTAGTAGATAGTTGGAGCAAGCTACGAGAATAATAAGAAAAACATGCAAAGCAAAATTGTACAGTGTCTCTGTTTCTGAAAGCACGCCTCCTCTAGGGTGTCTCTTTACCCAATTTATAAATTACGAATGTAAGATGTCAACTTGTCAAGTCCAAGGGGGAAACACGGCTAGGCGAGCTAGGCCGTGCGTATAAGTTGTAAGTAGCGAAAGAGGCCAGAACCCTGTTCGATTTCAACTTAGCACCCGTCATCCGCCCCCCCTACGAGCTCCATGCACCCAAGATCCCGGGATGCTCTTAAAATGCCTGGGCCGCCATTACTACCTATATTACGATTCATTTATTGATTCTCTATTAAAAATACATCCCGCGGCATACCCTTTGTTCTATAGTAGCACCGCAATGCGTAGACACGTATTCAGTAGATAAATATATCTAGAGTTTTTTTTCTAAGGAGGTTTTTTTTTTTCTTCCTCCTCCACTTGGGCGCCTATGTTTAATTTTCCCAATTTTGGGCTTATGGAAAGAAGTATATAAACTATGCACACGGAGTAGTGTTACTATCAAATGCAAAAGGGACTTAATCTTGATTTATATATGCATGTATAGGTAGGTATGTATCTTATTCTATCTTTGTACCTTCTTAACTAAGTAAATAGGAAGAAGAAACTTAAGCTTACGGGAAATGTAGCTGAATAATAAGAGAGACCTGAAAAAGCTCAGCTCCCTTAGTTGACCGGTGATGAGATTATGGGATGGAATTGGGGTTCTGATGACCGACAGGGGTGGTAGCCCGTCCGCAATCCCTGTTCATCCTTGTGCTTGGTTGCATTTGACAAGGACTCTGATCGCTCGGCGTATGTCCGCGATTGGGTCCCGTCAAGATGCGTGGTAGCGTGGTGGGCTAGTTCGCGTGCATTTCTTTGTTCACTCCGGCATGGCCAAGTGTTGATCAAGGCTCTGAATCTCGTTAACCCCCCCCCCTCTCCCCCTGCGGGACCAGATTAAGGTAGAGCTTGGGAAAAATAAGAAAAGGGAATATTTTCGGGATTATCAACATTACATGCTTATCATTACTTACATCGTAATTTTGTTTAGAAAGGGTCTTGTTGCATTAAGTATGTTTACAACTCTTAATAATTAAACTTTTATAAATACAGAGATTTTCTCCTCGTTCATTATGATGCATATGCATAGGTAGGTATATATTATCGTTCTATATTTTTCTTTATCATATAGCTCTTAAAGAAGTCTCTCGGCTCGGGGTCGGCTTTATTGCTTTTGCGTCTTGGCATAGATAGCAATGTTTAACTTAGGTAGGCAATTTATTTTATCTATTCAGCTCTTACATGTTAGTTAGTTTCGATGTTAGAAAGAATAAGAGTTTTGAGGCTACAGTTACTTAGGATTTAGAATGCCACCTACGTAGTAGCATCAGGTACAGGAATAAAGTTGATCTGGCACGTCCCATCTCTCTGGGGCAGATAAGAATCAAGATACATCAAATCGTGGCGGCGAACCATGATCTACCCTTAATTGGTTGGTTAGCTTAGCGAATTCAGTGCAAATTCACTTAATTAACCTAGGGGATTGTGCGCTACGTAGTAGTATGGATGGGCTTTTTGATGATTGTCGGGTATTAAAAGGGGTAAACTCCCTAACACCGAAGCATCAATCCATGAACAATAAGTATTCATATTTAGATCGTACGGAAGGGGAATCGAGAATATGTCGTGTATAATCTGCTTGGCTCTTCCCCAGTATCGATCGGACGGCTGCAAGTCTACCTGGCAATGCAGATGCTCCGCTGGCGTCACTGCAGTCTGCGTGGCATCAGAAATGGTGTCAATGCAAGCCACCACCTCTTTTCTAGATTCTCCCATGAAAGTGCGGGACGTATATATAGCATATATTATTCCTGATCTATGGTAGGATTGGCTTGCTGAAAGAGCCTCATCGGCAACACATAGACTATACTATATAGCTACCTACTCATCGTTTAAAAAACGAAAGCATTATCGACCGTCGGGGTTCGTAAAATTGGGGGTTTAAAAGAAAACAATAGATAATATCCATCTTTTTGGATAGTTACATCCATTGAACCTGTAATTATCAACTGATCATCAGCGGATGTATTTCCTAGGTTCGATCATTTTGGTCCCCAATAAATGCTTGCGTATGCCGTCTCTACAGGGGCATTCCCTGGACCTCAGCAGACTGGGTTGCACCCCATTGTTAGAGTTTAGTTGCTGTACCATGTGCGATATCAAGCTTAGTATTAGGTACGCATACAGCATTGTACATATAATATTTACATACATATCTACAGAAGGAGATTCAATGCATCGGAGCGTGGAAACCAGCCATCTTGCTAGTTTCCTTTGCTTGAGGAAAACCCCGCAATGCTGAATCCAGAATCCAACGTCTAAGGTCCAAGGGCTAAAGGATGTATCCCTCCTATATTGCCTACTTTGGAAACCCGTTGTACCGCAGTAAGGCATACACGCGCTTCATCAGTTACACCAAGAGGAGATACTCTAGATGTCTGCCAATTTTTGCTTTTTTTTCCTTGTCTCGAGGGGTAAGTAAACCACTGGCTCTGCGTCCTAAGCTAGGATTTTGCCCCCTCCCCCTAAACACGGCACAGGAGAACAGACAGATGATGTGATGGATGAGATTAGACTAAGCCTTGCCTAATTTTGGGAATTTTAAACGAGAAGTACAAGAAGAGTATTCCTTGATTTTCCTCCCTTTCGGGGCTCACCTTACAAGCTGATCAAGTCGACAAGGCTTTACTAGGCTTAGGTACCGTATCTTAGACCACATATAACATGTGCTCATCTTTATTGCCCAAGACACGAACTCAGAGGTTTGTATGTGCATGATCTGGATGGCACGGTAATACTTGTTACTTATTCCAATTTTAGCAATATGGTGCTTTCGTGTTTCGTGGTA